CCGAGGATTATTTTGGCGATTGAAGCCCTAAAAACGCGCATTTAAAGCCGCCCCAAAAGCTGATAACTGCTCCATGCAGTGGATTTCAATGGGCACAACGGTGTCATGAATTGGAATTTCTAAATCTGTCGAGCGCGCGGAGGCGTCATTCTTACTTTATTTTCGTGGAGCCCCTCCGTGAGTTCCCAATGCTCAATGCGGGCAATGCAGGTGGGCGCCCTGTTCAAGCAGCTTATATAACAACATAACCATCGATTTCCAAATGTGAATTCTGACTATTAACGTCCACTGACAACATCGAGTTGATATTACACCATCCAGATAATCACCATCAACATCATCATCATTGTAAATCATGATCAATCCACTACGGTCAAACACTCAATCTAGTGTCTGCACGGGGGCCTCTTTGTATTGCTCCATCTCTGCAGTGGATGTCCCGTTTGTGCGTGTTCGCTGTTTTAGCTCCACTGTATGAACCATCGGCCATCATCCCTTCTAGCGGCGTGTCCTGCGCAAACTCACTTACTTTTATTCGCCGTTGACTTTCACCTGCATATGATTCTCCAATCCATATATTTTTCTATCGGTATCACGGTGTAATTCCAAATTTGAACATCTTCCAGCATCTTTGCACACTTTTCAGCTGTTGTTTAAATGTTTTGTCAACGTCGGCGTGTCTGATGTGTGCCCATAGCTAGGTAATATGCGCAAATTAAAAAAAAAAGCTTCTTTTACCCGGAAATAAAATAGCGGCTGGCAAAAAATTTCATTCAGATGGCATCATTGTTTCCCTCCGCCGCCCTGTGGAATTCACAGTAATACCGAAATTCCCAGTGTGAATTCTGGACTCTATTAATGTGGACCTACAGCACTCGTATCGATGTTAACACGTCAACCCCATCGATACATCGTTACTGTCACCGCGCCTGCGAGAGAATCCTGTCCATATCTTCCTCGTGGGAAAATGTCAGTTTTTAGGAGCGTGAAGTATTTCGACGGTGGTGTGAACCCGGGATGCTGGGACATCGCGATGCTACGATCCATCGCACTTGCGCGACGGGGGCATCGTTCGTCGTGAGAACGATTATCCTTGCTAGTTTTATACATGTCATTTCCTGATGAAATAAAATGTAATTTTCTGATGAAATGTTTATATCATATTAACGATAATGAAAAGTTCACAATAATAATATTGGGTTTTGGTTTTTTTGCAGAAGAGCTATTAACCAGCTATATTAGGTGCCCTGCACAATTCTGACCGCATAACCTGACGGCACGGTGGTTTTACTTTTCAGAATTTAATCGCATTCCAACGGCACGTGCATTTTAAGCGTAATATAGCAAGGCTAACAATGATTTACGGAGGCTTTCCTTGGGTGAATACAACAACTGTTGATAGCGTCGCATCGCGTCGCCTGCAATTACATCGTGGCGGCGGCGGTAACCCTCGTGTGTGAACGTTCCCGCTGGCGGTGTTGCGACAGCGACAGACAACAATGGGGGGAGTGGGCAGTGATCACGAGGCCTGCGGGCTCTCTCGCCAGACGCGGGGGGGGGGGGGGGGTGGTGGGGAATTCACGAGAATGGGCCTCATCTCCGTGAAATCCATTTTCATATTCTGTTGGCAGCATTCACAAAGCCTACCGGGAGTTCCACTGACCGTGCGGTCCAGGGCAAAAAAAAAATGCTTTCCAGCTAAGCAGGAGCATCGTGGAGTGACAGAGCGGTGTTTATTGCCGTCACGGAAGTCTCTAATTTTCTAAAAAGCTGTCGCTTTGGATATTTGAGTTCAATCTCCGCGTGGCTTCATCACAGCAAAGTGCTACTTTTTCGCATATTGCTATACGCTTGCAATGCCTGAGGTATGGCGTAATTGGAATTACGCTTATGCGTGGCTGTACAGAGTGTTAATGCGGTGCCTCTAAGTTACGATGTCTCCGCATACATTGTGTAAAACAAAAACGCGGCATCTCGCTGAAATTATGTAAATAAAATAACGACCGTACTTGAACGAATGATTATGTTAAAACAACAAGTTATCAGCATAAGTCGTAATACATGGAGAAAAAACAATTGCTTCCCTACACAGTTCACCATCTGTAGCCAAAATATCCGCATAAACTTGCGCATTTCAAGAAACGTGTGAACTCCTTGATCACAAACGTAACTGTGCTGTTTGTTGCTGCCCGCTTGGTGCATTTGGCCATTTGGTCCCCTTGCTCAGCAACTGCGATTTAGCAACAACAAAAAAAAAACAATGCCCTCGTGCCTTCCACGGTGGTGTTGGGAGTTTAGGTTTTAAGTCTGTTACGTCAATTATTATAATGCACTCAATTGAAATGTTTTGTCTTTGGCAATTATTAACCTTCCGTTGTTTTGGATGTGTTAATATCTCAGTGTGCGCATTGCCATTAATGAAGTGCACATTTAGCGGATGCTCGCTGCGCACTGTTGCGCTATGCTGTTCAATTGTGCAATTTCGTTTTCGCGTGCTGCTGTATAAACGGAGCGTAATCCCACGTTTGAAAGAGTGGAAGGGATGGCACCAAGTGCCTTCATTGCTCACAGTGCCTCTCGAAAGCGCTCTCCTCGTCCTCCTCGACCTGGTCAGATTAAAACACATCTCCAACCTGTGTTGCAAGGCCCCAGAATGTTGTGCTCGAACGGAATACAGACTCACAAAGCATTGCAATGCAGCATGAGCGGTGAGAGCATATGACGCTTTGGCTCTTTCGGTGAAGTCACGTAGAAAGAAAATAAATTAAACAATAGAATACGAATTTTGATTTAAAGCTTTCGTGACTGCAGTAATTCATATTCTTAGCTCTTTCGGTAAAGTCACGTTGAAGGGAAACAATATAAGTCACGTTGAAGGGAAACAATATTGTTTCCCTTCAACGTGACTTTACCGAAAGAGCTAAGAATAGAATACGAAGTTTCGATTGCAACACAAGCAGTCGTCATCAGGTAGAACTAAATTTGAGAGAGAGACAAAACACAAACACGGAGACACACAGACAGACACACAAACAGAGAGAGACAACACAGAGACACAGAGAGAGACACACAACATAGACACACAGAGACTGTGTGTCTCCGTGCCTGTGTTTTCTCTCTCTCTCTCAAATTTAGTTCTACCTGATGACGACTGCTTTTGTTGCAATCGAAACGTCGTATTCTATTACTTAATTTATTTTATTTTCTACGTGACTTTACCGAATGAACAAAAGAGTAATTCCTGCAGTCACGAAAGCTTCAAATTTAGTTTAAGGCATATGCTGCTTTTTATTTGCTTCCTCACCATTATGCTGCACTGCTATACATAATACACTTTCATACACTTGCTTTTTGTGTTAAATAGGGACTCATAGATTGAATCAAGTGCTTTTGCCGTAATGTGCATCTGGTAACACACCAGCAGGCGTTCAAAAAGCCTGACCACTGATGACACCCAAAAGGTCAAACCTCTGATTAAAGTTGCCTTGCTTAAATTAATACTGCTGGTTCATATGGTCTGGAAAGTCAATAGGCTGATGGACTGAACACACACATTTTACTTACAAGTGAATTTCTGCTGAAATATGATTTTTTTTTTCCTGGGCAAGTTTACTAAAACGATGGAACAAATGTCCCCACTTCGTGTAGAGCAAAGGTGTATTACTCCGATTGCAGGATCACAAGACAAAGGTGGCAGCTTGGGGCAGGCCTGCATCTAGCAGTGGATTGACCATGGCTGCTGATGATCATGTGACCCGGTACACCATCAACTGCTCCCTGCTTCATACAAATTTGGATGCAACTCACTGGGGCAGCCACATTAATGGGCATCTATTTGTTTATTTATTTAAATTCAAGATGCACGCTGACGATGTGTGGTGCTTTGTCTTGCTGCACATATTTGCGTGCATATTTGAGAAAAATGTAACTCATTATCGCTCCTATTTAAAAATTTAGGAGCTGTTGATCATTCTAAGGGTTAATGGTCATTGTAGCAGGGCATTAAATAATATTTATTTACACCCAGCCCATTAGCTCCTTAGTGCTAGCTCAATACCTTTTATGGCCCTAATACTGCTACACTTAGCTGCATAGCATATTAATAATGCATAGTGACATGCTGCCTAATATATAGCATTTATATGCTGCACGTTACAAACTTAAGACACGTCCAGCAGTTCACAGTATTTTTAAAAATAAACTTTCTACGTTTTTTTTACTTGAAATAACATCGTTGTGCGAGAGTGCTGATGTAATTGCATGACACACACACACACACACTGTACGAACATTATAAAGAGAGACATGCAATATCCTGCACTGCTCTGCTACGGTTTTTTGCGATCACGCATTTTGCGGTGTCAGTTCCACGACAACTCACCACTTACAACTTTTGTGGGCTCGTTCATCAGTCGCGCCCTCAAGTTTCCAAGCGAGCGGCAGATGAGACGAGAGTGAAACCTGTTCTTACGTTGCCCTCAAACGCGATTTGGTTTGTGACCATGATCAGCGCCTTGGGAAACGTGCCAAAAACGCTCCGAAGAAGAAAACGAATGAAAAACAGCTGGCGTTACACTCTGTTGCAAATGTGCATGCCGTAAAATGCTACGGCCCGGCTCGGTTATTCAAGGCACACGGCTTTGGCGAGGCCATTTACCAACATCTGATCTCAGCAGTTCTGCTGGCAGCATTTTGAATGTATTTCGAGCCATTAAACTGACAGGAGATCGATAATCTTAAAGACCAATAAATCATACACAAACACATCATCGTGCGTGGCCGTGAGATAGCCTCCTTTAATATGCATCTCGTATGCAAAGAGCGATTCTGAAATCGAACAAAAATAGGGTGGCATATGGACGTGCGAAAGGAAGATTATGATGAGCTAAGAACGATTAATTCCGTCCAGTGCTGTGGAGCAGCGTTAAAAATGTGATCGGCAATTTAAGTAAACGACAGTATGCCTAACCATTGTCCACCGCTGCTGCTGCTGTGTGCAGTGTGGAGTTGCCGCTCGATAGATCGGAGGCGGTGACTGATCGCGGTGTGAAGACTTCCATGCCCCTCGCTCGCGCCCACGGTGAGTGGAGTTCACTCTTTCTCCCACGAGCGCATCTCACTCATGCAGCCTCTCGGTCACCCGTGCTCCTCCTCGTCCGCCGCTGCTACTGCTGCTTCTTCTTCTTGCATTTGCCATCAAAGGTCTACATCCAAGGACACGTAACGGCTTGTGTCGCCGCTTCATCACGCTCAATTCAGACTTCTCTCCCCACCGTCCATCCGTCATGTGGGAACAGTCCTCGACAACGTGGACGTCTGCTCGATTGGCAGCAGCTCTGCAGTCTCGTGCGGTAGGGGTGGCACGCAAACCGAAGACGGTGCCAAGTCGGCGTGCCAAGGTGCCCGTAGCCACACGCCAGCCTGTGTTAAGCGTGGCCCAGAGCAATCTGGATAGCCGCTGCGCGGTGCAGTGGAGGGTGTGAGGCAGAGTCCGATCCGAGCGCCGGGCTTTCTGCCACCGTTGGTGAGCGGGTCGGTTTGATGAGCTGAGGAGAAGTTGGATGGGAGGGTTACCACCGCTGCGAGCGCGAGAGCCTTGAACTGCTACGCAAGCTGCCGAACTCGTGCATCGACTTCCATTTTGTTTATTCTTGGTTCTTTCGGTAAAGTCACCGCGTAGAAGGGAAACAATAAAATAATACAAATATAAAACAATTGCGTTCTCACGGCGTTTCGACTGCAACACGAGCAATCGTCATCAGGCGTGAAGACCACAGCAAGACAAGTTTAAAAAAAAAATATTGCTGTGGTTTTCACACCTGATGATGATTGCTTGTGTTGCAGTCGAAACGCCGTGATAATTTTATTGTTTTATATTTTTATTATTTTATTGTTTCCCTTCTACGTGACTTCACCGAAAGAACCAAGAATATGAATCCCTGCAGTCACGAAAGCTTTAAATCAAGACTGCCATTTTGTTTATTGTTATCATTATGCTTCCTGAATGTGCTGTTTAGGTTTATACGCTTGCTGCAGTACAGCTTTTTGAGATGCTTGGTTATTCAGATGGCATAACAATTAAATAGCAAGTTGGGCAATCGCGCTGTTGCTCAGTGCACTGCGTCACCGTGGGCGTTGGGTGGAGTGTGAGTGCTTTGAACCTGGCTATCTGAGTTCGATTCCCGGACAGGGCGAGCATCAGTGGTGAGTGATATCAGAACTGGTCCTGATTCCTTCCCCCCCCCCCCCCCCCCCCCCCCACCTTCACCAATCTTCACTGGTCCAGTATGGTGAAGTATGGTCATACAACCCTCAAAAAGAGCTTGGAGAGGACGTCATCCAGCAGTGGATTGAAAAAGGGTAGAATATTATTGCTATGAATGCATTCAAATTATTATTAGTAGTATATTTATCAGTGTTCTGTGGAAGGACCTGCTTTTGAACAGGCTGCTCAATCGCCAACGTTTTTTGTAAAATGCGCCTTAAATGGCTTATGGAATTCAATATATTACGGCAAATGTGAGGTATATGCAAGCTTAGATTCCTGAAACAGACAGGATATTGTCGTGAAGTGAATGACATTATGCTTATTTATGAACTGCAATGAGTCTCATGGTGAATGCGGATTTCAAACATCATAGTCTTTGTGAAAACTCGTGTGGGTTTTCACACTTTTTTTTCAGATCGGTTTCTGAACAAGAGCAACTCATTCGTTTCGTCCCTTTAAGTCCCACCTCATGTTAACGTTACCTTACCCTGACGCTTTTCTGATTTATCTTTTTATTTCACCACGAATAGAATTGTCAGCCATCATGGCTGATTCCCAGAACGTTATTTTGGTGAGAATTTTATTTTGACATTTTTAGAAAATAAATTATTGCCACACTACATGGCAGGAGTTATGAATGCATGCAAATGCACTTAATTTAGCTGACTTCAACTCGCACCAGTGTCACTTTCCTAACAGCCTGTCTCTGACATCTCTAATCCCTTCAAGCAAGAACACACTGAAACAAAGATTAATGTCTGTTTTCTTAAAAAAACAAAATATTGACGTGCTCTCGTGTTGATTGGGCCCGAGTTGCTGGCCGAAGGTTGGCGGTGTCCGTTTTCAAGTGAATTTCAAGTGAATCCGCACCTCCGATTTAGCACGGTTGGTTATGTACGGTGCGAAAGAAGTTCAACATGCATACATAAACTTGCTTGCCACCGATGAACCACAGTACCTTGCTGATCTCGTCAAGCAGCATAAACCATCACGCAAACTCTGGTCATGCTTGCAGCGATATTTGGCTAGTCATTGAACATAGACGGCCACTGCATCGCGCGCTTTCAGATGCACTTCTGCGGCCATCTGAAACACTCTTCCTTCCGATATGAGGAAGTCACTGGAGCTGTGTACTTTTAAATGATCTAGATTGAAAACTCATATCTTTAATACCGCTTTTTGTGATTAGTTTGTTGTCCTTCCCCCCGCACCTCCGATTATCACGGTTGACTTACGTATGGCGTGAAATTAGTTCAACATACATGCATAGAATTGTCTCTCGGCTATCCGCCGGGTTCTGAGGATGTTCTCTCGTCGTCTGCCCTCTTTAAACTCCCTCCGTCCTTTCCCGTTTTGGAATCTCTACTTTATTTCTTCTACGGTACACATCCCTGGCCCACGACCATTTCAACACCCCTCCTTCCTTCAAGTCGTGCAGCAGCATGTTTCTTTCTCTGCCTCCTTGGCCACTTTCCCAACATCCTTCGTAGAACTCCCTTTGTCGAGCTCTCCCTCTGTGAGAAATTGTCCAATTAATAAACGTTGCCTTTTGTTGAATCGTCGTTGCACACGCAGTGACGCATCACACGCAGCGTCATTACACCCACAGCATTGTCGCGAACAGCATCGCACACTTGGGCTTTACACATGACATCGTCACACGCAACATCATTGCCAGCATCCCTCTCTCCTGCAGTTCCTTCATAAAACCTTCACAAATGAGAAATTGCACAATCCACATTTTTGTTGTTGTTGCCATGTATGGATTGTTCTAATCACATTTTGTTTCGCCAATACACCTCCTTCAGAACTTCCACGTGACTCTTTCCCCCCATTCCACACAGATGGTCCCCCGTTCAATGCCGCAACCCACATACAGTATCTCCAGGCATTCCAGTCTCCCTGTGTCGTCCTTTCACAGTGGCCCCAGGTTTCTGCCGCATACACAAAGCGACACGGCGCATACAGCCCGAGTGGTCTCACAGGTCACGGGATGGGCACTGGGGGAGAACAAAACCCAAGTCCTGGAACAGCTTCCTTGTAATTGCTTTCAATCACCATGTTCGGGGAATTGTGCGAGAAAGGGTAAATAATAAGACTCTCTTAGCCGATGGTAAAGTAAAAAAAAAAAAATTCCTGTTGGCGCATGTGCCCTGGCCTATTAGTGCATGTAGCTGTCAGTGCAGTGTGTACAAGACCTTTAAAAGAAATGAGGGATGGATTTATACAAAGCGCTCATGTATGATTAATTTAACACACCGGTCAAATTCATTTGTGACAGATCGACAAAAGAATAAAGCAGCCAGGTAGTTATAGCTTTATTAATAATTTGCCATCCTAAATAATTCTGCAGATACATTATGGATTTTGTTGACTTGAGGTCAGGTGTTTTTATTAGTGTTTTGCAGAACAACAAATCTGTGCTGCCTGGTGTTATTGCATCTTTTGTGCCAAATGTTAACGCCATGTCCCCGGTAAGTATTTTAATTAACTGATCCGTAATGTATCAATACATTGCTGGATGAAAGCCTCCTCAGGCCGAACAGTTTGTGGGATTTATTTGAATGGGAATCCACGACCACGCTGGGCAGTGCGGGTTGATGAAGGTGGAGAGGCATAAGTAACATTGAGGTACTGTAGAACATGGGATTTTACTACACCGCCCTCTGCGGCACAACGTGTAGGCCCAGTAGCAGCCTGTGACAACCTGTTTGTGTATGGTGGTCACCCGCCCAAGCAAGGCCCCAAAAGATCTACATAGTTTTTGAGATCTGATGAGATCGGGTCCGTTTACAGTTGATTTGGGCACAGCAATAGTAGTAATAATGATCTTTATCTTATAAGTGCCTTTCATATCAAAATCTCAAAGCGCTGTACGCAAAAACTGCACGCACTAGTCTAGTGGGGTCTACGGAGGCACACACTTGAACTTGGAGGCAACACGTTTATTTCTACACCTCAATTGGGTAAATACATGAACGTAACTCTGGTTAACTAGACCACAACGGGGTAAATAGATAACCGGGTCAGTCAGTAACACACTGCCTGACCCACGATCCCGAGCGTAAAGACTGAAGACTGAAGACCGAGGATCGAAGAGACGCAGCATCGATGGGTTCCATTTCAACAGACAGCCGCGATTGCTCTCGGGACCTCCCTTTTATGCTCCCTAGCGTGGCCTCGCTCCACCTTCAGCCACGCCCCCTTCTGGTACTCACCAGAAAGTTCTCGACCGAGCACCATGTGCCCCTCATGCCCCCTTTTGGCCCCCCTCGTTACCCTGTCCTGGTCACGTGCCCTCTCGGGTTCACCCAGAGTCTCACGTCCTCACTTGCCCTCTCTCTGATCATCACCAGAATCATGCACCCTGGGGCCCGCTTTCATGCCATACCTACTCTGGTGTCAGAGAGAGGCCCAAGACGCACAGTTCCACTCTTGTGACAGTAGCTGGCGCTAAACGCGATAGTGACCCAATTTACATCACTCACAAGTATAGATAGTATACAATCGAAATACGCCCAAAGCTGATGATAATAATAACAACTACGTATGTATGTTGAACTTATTTAGCATCGTACATAGCCAACCGTGCTTATCTATGTTGCATCTACAATTTGCAACATAATTCAAATGAAGAACAAGCTACGACAAAAGGCAATAATAATTATATGAATTACAGTGTAGGTAAAAATCCATTGGCGTTGCATGTGGAGCTTGTGGGATGTGGAGATGAAAGCTTTGTGCTGGGATGTCTGGCTGGGAATAATTTTTCCCAGCTTCCCCCGGTTGAAGAGATGGCATCTCGTTTGCCG